CAGTTTTTTAATATTTAAACTAGCGTATTCAAATTATATAGTATAATCTATACTTATAAAAGCGAAGTCACTTTGCTTATTTGTCGCCTCCAGAGCGAGTTTCAGATGTCATATTGGATTGTGTTCAAATTTATTGTTTCGGCCCATATATTTCAATCTAAAAAATACCCATGAAACCCTAATAAACTCCTATAAATTAATCGATACTTAAAAATCAATATAAGTTTGTGCTCTTGACGGCGATGGCGATTTCTTTATATGTGCCTTTCTTGGTTTTTCCTTTTAGTTTTTGATGAGAAACGGTGTTTGGTTGATTTTGTGTAAAACGATGATACAGCTGAGGGTTTTGTTTCTTTGGGGTTTGTTTGATGATAGATAGGTATCAACAAAGCTATGTGCATAAACTTCTCTATTGCCAGTAGCGGTTTTCTTTATGGTTTAGTTGAGAAATTTGGAGATATATAATGTTGTCATCTTCTGTTGGTATCATCACTGTCAATAGAGCTTTAATGGAGACATATGGTTATAACTTTGGTAGAGCTCTCTGTCTTCGTCTTTAACCGTCCATCCAAAAAACGATGGCAGACAACTTGTGGAACTCAACATGTAAGTGTCTCTGTTGATGTCTGAAGCTAATCATCATATGGCCATGGCCCGTGAGATCTAGATTTTCAATTGGGGATCTACTTCCAGAAGTACGATAGAAGAAGAGGAAGGAATTATAAGTTTTGGTTTTGAATGAATCCTCAACGATTGAGATGCTAGATTTATTGCACAAGATTGGTGGGATACACATGGACATTTTATTGGGATATACGAGTGTGATACAACTTTCCTCTGGTGTTAACTCATGCTACGATGGTTTTAAAGAGATTTTCTTCATGCTTCAATGCTATTATTTAAGATCCCAGTGAACTAAAGCGTATAGTGCGAGGATTTAAGTTTGAGTCTATCTCGGGTTAGATTCATATTAATTGGTAGGAAAGTTCAAGTTGTAGGTATATGAACCACATAAATAAAAAAGTTTTTAGTGTCATTATATTGCTAGAGTAGGGTTTATCAGTTTATGTACGTTATCATGTTTTACTGAGGACGTTATATTACATATACTAACGGAGATTGTCTTTTTAGTTTTACTGCAGATTTATTCGTGGTCAATTTAGATCTATGTTTCTTATTTATTTGCTGTCAACTTCTATAAAATTATTGGTCACTTAGATTAGAGACGTTACCTTATGTTGTATAGTAAATGTTTAGTTTTTAAATTTATACTCCACGGTAATTTGTTCTTCTATTAGTGGTTTAAGATTATTGGTTTTTATGAGATGTTATCATATATCATAAATTTATGAGATGTCGTATATGTTTAGTTCTCTAATGATATACGTTATTGTTTTAAATTTATGTTCGGGTTATACTAACCCTTTTTCTTACAGATTAAACCTCTCCTACACGGTAATTTGTTCTTCTCTTGCCTTTAGATGTTTTTCCTACGTCTCTTCTTTTGTTTTCCCCTAATATGTTTTATAGAAATTTTCATTAACAAGATTTTTTGTAGAATTCTTTTATGAATGGCATCCAATTATTGGATTTTTAGTTTAGAGTTTAGGTCTTCTGCAAGTGACCATTCACTCATGCCATGTTGTGTGGTTTTGTACTACTATGTACTCCTTGCGGTTTGGAGAAGTTTCTTTATATGATTCCATTGGGACAACCAATCTTGCTCAATTAAAGGAGCACAACAACAAATTTTTGGTCCAGTCTTAACATGATCGGAATATATGCATGTTAGGAAAATAGCAAAAAGATCAAAAAGATAAAATTCAAGAATGATATGAACCACATCAATCATGTGTATTTGAAGAGGAGAGGAAAGAGACGAGCATGTACCTTTTCGCCAGTTAAGGTTCTCTCCGCAATCGAATTGGCTAATGAGGTTTTTTTTATAAACGAAACTTGTTTTTTTTTATTTATGTATTGCATTGTAGTGTTCTTAATTAGGTTTTGTGTTTGTTTATCGTTGTTGGTTTCCGAGCTCTTCTATGTAGTTTAATTAGGTTAGTAAAACTAGAAAATTTTTTATTTATGTTAGGTTTGTAAAGTCGTATTTAAATCTAAATTTTAAGTTCGTTTTCACCAATGTAAATTGGAAAAGAATGAATGAACAATATACTTAAACAAGATAGAATAGACGACTGTGAACAATTTGTGGTTAAATCAAACTTTCATTAACCCAATCAATCATAAATGTTTGGTTAAATCAAACTTCCATTAAACATTCTTGATCTGCAAGTTATTTTGTACCGACTTAGTTTGGGAACATAGTTTTTAATTCTTCGTTTATGTTTTGTAGTTAGGTAATGGCATCAACTGTTGGAGCTGCCATTGCCTCCCATATGGACATAGACAAAGTAATATCTATTCTCTTATGACTTATGAGTTGTATGGATCCATCATTCAGTTGTATGTGAAATCATGAATCTTATATCTTTGTTCTTTTGCTTAGGTTAGTTTCACGGGATCAACAGATGTTGAGAGGAAGATAATGCAGCTCTCAGCCGCAAGTAACCTCAAAAAAGTTTGCCTTGAATTGGACGGGTAATCGCTTCTACTCATATTCAGATGTTGACAAAGTTGTCTAGGATCTTGCGCTTCTCGGTTGCTTCTACAACAAGGTACATATTATAGTAGCAAGGCCGGCCAATGTAAACATATTGGTGATCGATATTGTGTGTAAACATGTTTGGTGGATGTGCAGGGTAAAATTAGTGTGGCAAGCTCTCCTATGTTTTGTCCAAGAAGGCATATAGGACACGGTTGATTGTTTGGGTTTCTTCTGGTCGCATGAAAAACATTCAATGTAAGAGCAAGATCCATGTATAGCTCCCTATATATCGGACAGGCTTGCGAGAAGAATGTGGATCAAAAGTCAATATATATCTCCATTTCAGGCTAAAGAAAGATGTATGGGTAAGTACCGGTTGTCTCACTGGATTGTGCAACCTTAGTGTAACAAGAAATGGAATTTTTGCATTGTTTAAAGATCTGTACTTATAATGTCTTCTTTTCTATACATAAGTTTTTTTATCGAGGTTTTCTATGATTTTAATATAGTATATTCCTATATCTTACTCTCTACATGTAACTGTCTTTCTCCTATGTGTTTGGTTCCAAAATCTTACACTTATTAGCTTGGTTTCTGTAGATTCTCAGCGTATATGTTTTGACTGAGTTTGTATACTTTTGATACAAAGTAATTAGAGAATTCTAGGTTTCTATAATGGTTGATTAAATTTTGGGAATGTGCTCTTTAGA